CATTCCTGCCGGATACTATCTGTTGACGCTCAGTGACATGGTCCTGCACACAGATGAAGAACAGGAACACGTGGCCACTCTTCCGCTCCCACACGGGACAAGGGTTCATGGTCCGATGCCCAGGCAACGTGGCTTCCATCAGTGGCTTCATAGGCCCCCACTAGACAAGGAGAAGGAAAAGAGTGTGGAGTGTGACACTAGCAGGAAGGTGTGAGGTGCATTAAAAGCATTAGTACTTTTCATAAACGAGAAGTAAATGATACCGAAACCTACAGAATCATAAGGCTCAAGTATTTACTAAATTCTCAGATAGCCTAGGGTGGCTTCTTAAGCTAGAAAGAGACGATGCTGATCCTGTTTATGTTGTCCCTCTATGGGGAATGCTTTTCCTTGATTTACCTAGACTTCCAAATCATCCTCCAGTACCTAACTCCAAAGTCACCTCCTTTGTGAAGCCCTCCATATAATTCCCTCTCCTCACGAATAAGTCATTACGCTTATAACATTGGGGTTTTTTGTAACTATATCTCTTTCTAGGCTAATTCTTTTAAATTATACTCATCTTGTATCTCCAGCGCCTGACACATGACAGGAGCTAAGTATTGGTACTTTTACACAGGAAGAAAGGAAGGAGGGTGAAAAGGAAGGAGGAAGGGAGAGAGAATGGGAAGGAGAAATGGAAAAAGAAAAGGAAAAAGAAAAGTAAGGCAGGATAAGAGGAAAGCTTTAGGCAAAGAAAGAGCATTTTGTTTTTCCTTTTCCTTTGTTTTTGTTTGCCTTTTTTAAAGAGATTTTTGCTATAGGGTGTGTGTGCTTGTTGGAGACACAGAGAGAGAGGAAGTGAGAAATCACCCCCCAGGGGAACGGCCACTCTACAATCCCTTCCCTCCATTCTCCTCTTGGGATCTTGGGCACTCACGCATCCGCACCTGGCATGAGTTTCAAAATGTGGAAGAAAGGGACTCCTGGCTACAGTAAACAAGTACAGGCTGTCCCTGACTTCCTATGGTTCGACTTGCGATTTTTCTACTTTACAATGCTGTAGAAATGGTACTCATGCAGTAGAAACCACACTTTGAATTTTGGCCTTTTCTGGGCTAGTGATACCTGGTACGAGGCCCCTGCAGGACGCTGGCCAGTGGCAGCTAGCCATGCAGTCATGAGAGTGGCCATCCATACTCTCCAGTGGACTGCACTGCCAGCGTGGATGCGGCTCTGCTCAGGTGCAGGCTAATAGACGTGTTCTGAGCACATTTAGTGTAGGTGAGGCTAAACGGTGATGTTCAGTAGTTAGGTGAATTAAACGCATTTTCGACTTACGATATTTGAAATTTGTGATAGGTTTATCTGGATGTAGCCCCATCACAAATCAAGAAGCACCTGTAGGGGCCAGCAGATGGTATAGCGGGTGTGTCACTGGACTCCTACATGGCCAACTGCCGTTCGAGTCTTGGACCCAGTAGCTTGAAACTCATGCCAGGCAGTGTGCATGTGGGCCCAAGATCCGGGGAGGAGAATGGAGGAGGGACTGTGGTGTGGCCATCCCCCCGGGGGGTGATTTTTTACTTTTCCTCTCACTGTCTTGTCTCTCTTGCTCTCTCCAGTGAGTGTATGCGCCCTATAGTAAAAACCTCTAAAAAAAAAATAGTACCTGTAATTAGACCAATCCTCTCCTGGTAACTAAAAAAATGTAGATTAAATATTAAAACCAGACAAAAATGTGTTTGAAAGCAGCAGAGAACAAACAAGGCAATGAAGAATTAAGAAATAAGAGTTCAAGGCTGACCCTGCAGTGCAACAGTTAAGGCGACCAGACCCCACATGGCCACCTGCAGGTGGAATCCTGGCTCCAATGGCTCGAGAAACACACCTGGTACAAAATCCTGGCAGGAAGAAGAAATGGAAGGAAAAGGACTATGGTTTGACCATTCTCTGTCGCGAAGTGCTTTCTCTCTCTCTCTCCCTCTCCCTCTCCCTCTCCCTCTCTCTCTCTCTCTCTCTCTCTCGGCAAGCTCATACATCCTCTGGCAATAATGAACTAATTAGTTTATAAATGAGAGTTCATTGAGAGAAGTTGGCTGGTTATTTCAAGTCCTTTTTCCTCAACAGGAGATTCCTACTCATTCTTGAAGAGAAAACCCAGGGGACAGCAGATGGTGTAGTGGTTATGTCACTGGACTTTCATATGGCTGACTGCAGTTTGAGTCCCAGACCTGATGGCTTGAACATCTTGCTGGGCCTGTGTGCATGTGTGTTCAAGATTCAGGAGGGAGAATGGAGGAGAAGGGATTGTGGTGTAGCCATTGACCCCAGGAGTTGATTTCTCACTTTCCCTCTCACTGTCTCTGTCTCTGCTGAGCACACGTACCTATGGCAAAACATTAAAAAAATAATAATAATAAATAAAATTTTAAAACAAGCAAAACCATACTCTAGAGCTGTAAATCAGTATAGTGATTACTTTGGAGAAGAAGACAGGGGCCATAAGAAAAACTTAGGTGCTAGCAACATCCTCTTTCTTGGGATACTAGTAATGAGTTTCGCAAGTAGCGGGTCCACAAGTGTTGGCTTGGTCATAATTCACTGTGCTGACATTCATGATTTGGACATGTTGCATTTACGTGTGTTTTCTGTTTCCTGCAGGTGTGTTACCATTTCACACTAAGAAAAGTTTAGGTTCGGCCTAGACAGCACAGTCTTTAACATACCAGACTTCATTGCTAGAGGCTACATGGTAAACCATGGTTGCACATCGCCAGGCCCGTCAACCTGAAATGCACTGGGTACACACGCCCAAGATCCTGACAAGCCAGAGGGCTGGAGTAAGGGGATCACAGAGTGATGAGACCATGTGGTCAGTGCTTCTTTCTCTCTTGTATATGTACAAACAGTCCCTGCATCATGAATAAAAATAAATGTAAAACTTTAAAGAGAGAAAAAGAAAAAGCTCCTGGGAGCAGGACAGTGATGCAGTGGTAAAAACATGTTCTTTGAGGCTGGCCCACATGAGAAGGTCCTAGGTTCATGTCCACAGACCTCCCTGAGTACAATAGGCACATGCGTGCCCATGATTCAGACCTGGCTGTGGCGGGGGTGAATCATAGCAAAAAGACACTGTTAGGGGTACTGTCTTTGTCTGTCTCTATGTCTCTGTCTTTCTGCCCCACAGAAGAAATTTTTAAAAATTTAAAAAGAAAGGGTGCCAGCAGGTGGCATGGTTGGTTAAGGGCAGTGGACTCCCACATGGCCGACTACGATTTGAGTTCCAGACCTGGCGGCTTGTTTTCTCACTTTCTCTCTCCCTCTCTCTCTCACTCTGTCCCACTCTGGTCAAATTAAAATAAATAAATAAATAAATAAATAAATAAATAAATAAATAAATAAAATAGTTCTTTTTTTTTAATTTAAAAAGAAAGTTGGTTTAAAGGAATATTAAATATGCTTGCTTTCCTTTGCTTCTGTGTGAAGAGACCCTGGAGGATCATAAAAAACAACCGGGACTGCCTATAGGAGGTAGATAAAGGAATGGAGCTATGCCTTTTTATACTGTTTTTAGTTTTCAGCCACATGAATATACTATCCAAAACAAATTATAAGCTTTTTAGAATTTAATTCCTGCATGAATGGGAAAAACCGATTTAGTGAGGCTCAGATCATAGGATCTGAGAGCAATACCAACCATAGGTCTCTCTCTCTTTCTCTGTGTCCTTCTCTCTCGTGGGAGAAGTGAATAAACAAACTTGAAAAAAGATTTACTCCTCAATTGTGTTATGCATTGGCTCAAGAAGCAATTGTACCTTAGGCTGAGCAAAAAAGGATACAAGATAGGATAACAAATGGAATTAAATACATAAATAAATCTTTTTTAAAAATTAAAAAGGGGCCGGCAGGTGGCGTGGTGGATAGAGGCACTGGATTCCCACATGACGGACCACGGTTTGAGTCCTGGACCTGGCTGCTTGCTTTCTCGCTTTCTCTTCCCCCTGCTCTCTCTCTCTGTGTGTTCCTGACTGGTGAAATTAAAAAATAATAACAAATAGAATTAAATAAATAAATAAATAAATCTTAAAAAAAAAAAAAAAGATACAAGATAGGAAAGCCCATCTCATTACTGAGTTGATCAGTTTACCCTTGGAGTCCTAAGTTCATTTCTGAGAATCACACTTTGAAAAAGGACACAGGGCCAGCCCATGGCCTGGTGGTTAAGGCAGCCAGATTCCACATGGCCAACCTCATGGTTCAAGTCCCAAACCCAAGTAGCTTGAAAAACATTCCAGGTATGTGTATGTGCATGCCTCAAATCTCAACAGGATGGAGAAATGGAGAAGAAAGCATTGTGGCATGGCCATTCCCCATGGGAAAGTGGGTAATTTCTCTTTCTCCCTCTCTGTCTCTGAAGAGCACACACTCCACTAAGAGAACTGAAGCATTTAGCCCAGAAAATAGAAAACTCAGAGGTCATGAACACTGCTTCCAGGTACTTCAAAGAGTAGTTCTCTAAAAAAGGAGTTTTATCTGTATTACCTATAGACTGACGGCCCCAAGGAGCAGAACAAGACCAAAGGTAAATACAGAGAGGTAGAGATCATCTCACTCTCTCTCAAGAACAAGGGCGGGCAGCAGGTGGCATGGTGATTAAAGTGCTGGACTCTCACATGGCCGACCATGGTTTGAGTCCTGGACCTGGGGGCTTGCTTTCCTACCTTCCCTTTCTCTCTCACTCTGTCTCTCTCTTGTCAAATTAATCAAATAATGATGGTAATAAATAAAATAAAATAATTCTTTTAAAAAAAAAAACAGAAAAACCTTAAAAGCTGCTGCAGGATTGAGTATGTCATTTGAAGAGCTGTGTGAGTAGACCCTTATGGAAAATGACTAATGTTGCATTCTTACAGAGTAACTTCTATTATTAACTTCATGTTGCACATGATGAAACTGAGAAGAGGCAAGTATCCAAAGTCACTCAGCCAATAAATGGAGGTCGCGACTGACTCCAAAGCCATGCTCGTAACCACTAAGCTATTCGTAGCTCCCGACAAAATACAGAGGATACCATACTGGGAAGGAAGCCAGGCTGAGGAGTCTTCTAAACGTCCATATTCTGACGTTCTATAAATCAGAAAATACAAATAAATAAAGAGAAGGGAGAATGAGTTATCA